AAATTTTCAAAAAAAAAAAAAAAAAAAAAAAAAAAAAAAAAATCAAACACCACACAAATAAAACACTTTCCCAATAAACAGAAAATCTCACCATAGAAACAGTATCAAATATTTGTTTTTAAAAGAGCTGGTTACACTACCACAGCAATGTTTTTATCTCATATAAAAAACTGGCTTAATGAATTTGATTAATTTACTTTTCATTATATAAAGTCACATAAGCACAACAGGGTGTCCTGTTGACTGTCTTTTGATAAAGATTAATAACATCACAGTTCATTAAACAGCAAACCCCCCCAATTTCTCCGAAGTACAGCTAGCATAGTTAAAATACCACACAGACAAGAAATACTGGCAACATCATATCATGCAGTTTACTGAGGGCAGGCAACGCTGCCATAAAATGCAGCAGTTGCTTTAGTTTCCTGTAACTGCTCAAGTTCACCTTAACAGATTTTCACTCTTTTAATAATGAATATTCTTTCAACCAGCAGATAACTGTGCCCAGAATACCCCCTGGAAAGTATCCTCTATCAGTTACTGCACAGATGCTCAACAAACAATCAATTCCAAAAGCGTTATTTGCTCCCACTAATTAACAGGGAGAGAGCAGGGGTGTGGGTGAGGTGGGGTAAGAGCAAGTGTAAGAGGTGTGCACCAGTGTGCTATAGCTATATACAGGGCAAGGTGTACGCCCACGCCCCACAAAAAAACACAAGCTACTATCAGTTCAGTGGCGAGAACGCAGAGATGAGCATTAACCATCCCCAAGAAGCAGTAACGTGGATATACGTATTCTTTTACAAGTCCCATACACAATAGCGAAACCCCATTTGAGTAAGCAAAATAATCAACCACCTTTGTCTGAATGTTTAATTGCAGACAATTTCCAGTAGCCCAGTCTACTTGCCAGTTTGCTAATTCAATCTGTATAGCCTAGAGGTTAATTGGCTTCTCCGTGACCAGTATCAGGTGCATACCTTTTAGTCAAGCCAACACCAATCTCTAGTTTCACTACTTAACAGCTGTCAAACACTACATTAATAAAATATAGCAGCGTTTCTCAAGCTACCAGCCGTCCTCTAATCAGATGGGATAAGGACACGGTTTCTGAAAAGCAAACTACGCCAGGCACAATTCAAAGACTCGAGTCAGGCAGGCAATCTGACTGTGGACATCTCCCTAACGAGAATTCGACGGTAGCTCGTTCTCAGTCATGAGAGACTGAGAAGACACTTTCTGCACAGTTTTGAACAGCTCAGCTGTATCGTGGCACTGAAAACTCTATACCCGTTACTTCTGTCCCACTTAGAAAAAGGCGGACATATTTAACCTTTTTTATTTCATACATCAGTTTACAAGTGTAACATTGAAAGTTTTATATGATGATTAAGCAGCAGAAAATATTATTTCAAACAGTTCTGAACAGTCTTTCGGAAGTTGTCTGTGAATCGGCCAATTCCACACGATTTCCCAGTAACTGAAACTTTAACTGAGAGGGAAAATAGCCTGCAGTGAACATATCTTTGTGGGATAATCATGAGGTCTCCTGCAAAAAATGACGCGAACATACAGAAGATTTATAATGAAAACCTAATTTAAGCACAGTACTTTTTGTAAAGATTTTAACAGCGATTTCCACAGGTTGTTGCAAACACTGCCAGGTTTGTGCAATGGGCTCTTCCAGGAAGGCGGCTGCTCTTCAGCTCGGCAGGGTCGAGAGCTTTACCTGCGGAACTGGGTTTATGGAGCATTTCACCGAAAGTTTTTTTTCACATAAAGACCATTTGTGACAATTTACAAAAAATAAACCACACCACGCCAACTCTTAAGCAAATGTATACTCTTTCAAATTCAAGAGATACGTAAATATCCGAGTACATTAGACTAGGATTCTTCATAATATTTTCAGAAGTACTAAGCTAGCTTTTGAACTCTGGCTCTTCTCTGAACTTCACCTTCAGCATCTTTCAGCGCTGAGGTCTGTTAGAAAAGAACAAACACTACCACCACGTTAATGTCATTAGCGGTTTCTATCGCCAACAGCTCAGAGCAGAACCCTCAGGGAAAGCAACAAGAACACTTCACCTGCTGTTCCCAGCCGGGCTGAGCTGTGCGCCGCCGAACACCGTGCACCAACAGTGCTGAACACCTTGGTCCCTCTGGTGTAAACAGTTACTCAGTATTTGGGCCAGGAAGGAGTGTTTACTCCGGGAGGAGAAACGGGTCATCCAAGCCAGGTATATTCTCTGGTGCGACCCTACTAACTTGCAAGGAATGTAAGCAGAGGGCTGTCTCCAGCAGCACAGCAGAAACAAACAGCCTCCCCGGGGCGGCCTGACCCGGACATTGCCACACAAAGAAGGCAACGCAAGCGCTCACCGCTTGTCACAGGAGGTTGGGCAAAGCGGTAGTAACAAACCCAGTGGTGGCACCTCACGCGAGCGGTGGCTTCCAGCCCCAGCTGCCACCACTTCTGCCCACAATATCCACATACTTGATCTGCTGACCAAGCCTGGCCACTATTAGTATTTTTTCCACGTAACGTTTATAAAAATGTTTCTCCTAAAGGATTTTTCCCTCTTTTGTAAATGAATGATTCTACTAACTTAAAAAAAAGTGACTGATAATTACCACAATAATCATCATTTCACTGCATCATACGAAGTCTAAACAAAATGGCAACATCCACTAACACGCAGAAGGCCTAGCTGCCGCCAGTGTCATGCACTGAATGTCAGGCTAGATTATAATATTTTGACAACAAAAATTGTTCGCAGTTATAAAGCTATCTGGCAGACCTACTCAGTCACAGATCCCGTGACGTTTCCAACACAAACACTGTTTATAGCGGTGAGTATCTTGGCCCTTAACTATCGCACTCCTAGGCTCGACTCGTAGTTGGCTGCTGGACCAGGTGTAAAACTACGCACCAACTCTGGGGCCCCGAGGCGTGTTTGTACCTGAGCAAAGTCCCTGCCAGGCAGCTCCCTGGGGATGTGTCCCTGGTCAAAGCCAGGATGATGCGTACCGCAGAAAGGGCGAGAAGGAGAGAAAACGGAGCAGAGAGCTTGCTCAGAGTAACAGCAGTTGCATAAACACCATGGCCATGCCAGCCGCTCTAACTAAACAGCTTGGAACAGAAATGTATCCAATAATGCTTAGCTCCTACACAGCCCCTTCAACCTTCAAAGTTCTTAAAAGCAGACTCTGAAGGCTAGTTAATCTTATCACCGGTAAAAATTAAAATCCTAACTAGAAAATAATCAGTTCATACTTTAAAATTAGCAGAAAAAGCAAAACCAAATATATTACATGGAGTTTAAGAGAAACTACTAGTAAATACAGGCTGAACAGACGTAAAAAAAAGGGATTATTTATTACTATAAGAAATGTGGTCTTGAAACACTTCAGTTCTTGGCCTGTCCTGTCTTGTCTCAGGTAGAAAAACTGGCAACATGAGTTTTAGCACATACTATCAATTTGAAATTTGCATCTCTCAAATGGAAAGAATGCTTGCCTTGGAGAGGATCTGTCTTTATGCTTTATTATCTGCATTATTTTAAACGCACACACGAAAGGGAGTCATTAACAGGCCCATTTGCCCTATTTATCAAATTAGTAAAGCTCAATGTATTATTTTTAATAAAATTAGCTTTTCATTCCCAGGATCTCATAGTGCAAGAAAAGACATACGCAAGAAATACTCAGTCATCACCTGGAACAATATACCACTTACATAAACCCTAAACCCAAGTATTCTTCCCTCTCTAGATGTAATACTGAATTGTGTTATTCTGGCAACAAAAATATTTAACCGTTTTAATGGTGCCTGGCCAGATTTGTACAGTAAGCTTTAGTGGCATTTCCAATGTAAACACTGTACAAGCCTGGTCTATAACTTGGCTCTCAGTATGCAGCTAAAGGCCTAAACTTCACATGCATATGCTTGAAACGGGAATCAATTATGTTTTAAGTAGTTGAACTAAATAACATGTCTGGCTAACCAAGAAGTTTTAAATCATCTCATAGCTAAAAAAGACTTTGTTTTCATTTGTGTAGGCAGAGCAGGAAAGAGGACTTATCAGGAAAAAGCTTTACATTTACAAATGGTATAATGGGGTGTTCATTTAATACTTATTTTAGACCAATAAAACTTTTGAGTCTATCATACGGCACATGGATTTCACTGCAGCTATTAAACAAAAAAAGGTCTGCTGTGGGGAAAAAAAAAATATGGTAGTAAACAGAATATCAACACAGTTTAAAATAATAATCTGTTGCTGAGGGAAAATCCCAGAGACTGTTGGAGAGTAAGAAGTGGAGTCCCCAGCACCAACAAGAAGGTCAGACAACAAAGCACAAGGACTGGTGCAAAGTGCAATTTTAAACATCGCCTGTCTACTAATGACCACAGACGTCGGAGGCCCTCACATTTTCACCATCTGAGCATCGAGTGGCAGATAAATCCTCCCTTGTCCCTACCAAGCAGAACGTCAGGCAGAGACTGGGCTCACCACACTGTACAGTACGTTCTCTTCTTTGGCAAATTTTCAAGTTTTTTTTTCCAACGTTGCATTAAAGACAGTTCTTAGATGAGCAATGGCTGTAGGATCAAGTCTAAGATGCGTAGCAGATGTCCACCTGCCCAGGCATCCAGAACAGCGAGCACTGACGCAGACCCAACAGCTTTTGCTCAGCACATTCTGTCTTTGCTTCCACAAACCGTCACAAACCACGAAAGTCAAAATAAAATTGCAGACCATTAACCACCTTTGGGGTGAATCCTTCTGTCTGAGAGTCAACTCTCACTTTGTAAGACCATACCCTCCAAATGTCTTTACTAATGTAAGTAAACGTTGTCATTAAAAGAACAACAGTTTCTCAATAGATTTATGATTGA